CAAGTTCGACTTCTGTGCGAGGTGAGGATCCAAAATTCAGTTCAGTACAGTTGGAACAACTAGGGTCCGGGAACCGAAGTTCAGTGGATCCAGATGCCACGACTCAATTCGTCAGAATAATGATAAATAGCAGCGGCAAAAAGAGATTGGCTACAAAAAGAATATAAAGAATTGAAATTACGGAGAACGCGCGTTAAACTAAAGCGGAAGTAATGAAATTGACAGCTAGAGGCAAGAAACCGAATGCAGAAACACTACTGGCTGCAACATACCTGAGGGGGTTCCAAACTTCCCGAGGACCCACTCCATGAAGACGGTAAGCACTAGTCTTACCAAGTCCCAGACAACTTCTACATAACTTCATGCGAGGTCGCAGACTGGCTACCTCGCGGTTTCGCGCAACCTCGTGCAACCACGACGTATAATTAACGCGAGGGAACCGGTTAACAGACATAAGGAGAACATGAGCTGGACAACGTAAGCGGTTAAGGGTTCAACAACAGTAAAGGCACTAGAAGGATCCATAGATAAAACCAACTGGCAGCTCTCAGCATTGCTCAGCCGGTGCTCCCATCAGAGTTGAGCGATAAACAAGGCCAAGCGTTTAATGTCTTCACCACAAACTGGTCAGGTCTCTGATCGATATAGTAAGACCGGCATTACCGCAGCGTTATACACCTTATCCATAGATGGTTGAGACCCTGGAAGCGTATCCAAAGAGCCTAGAGAATGGCGCGATCACGGGCTGGCATCAAATACAGCAGTTCCGGAAGATTAAATTTCATTTCAGAGTCCTCAGTAAAACGCCTCAAGCGTTTTTGGCAGTTTGTGGCCAGACTACGTACTCTCGTCGCATATAGTTTCATTAATGCCAAATCTCTTGCTCCCCGTACCGGACGAAATAGCTTCCGACAGTTACAAAGAAGTAACAGTTTCCATTTCCAATGAACGATGAGACCGCTAGATTTCAGTCTTTTCAGACTAGCACGCAATTTCGTCTTCAGATCATTGAGTTTCGTAATCGCTCGCGGCCGGAATGTGTCGGCGAGCGTCCAGAAGTCCCAGAGAATGGGTAGAGACTCATCGTCCAGGGTGGCAAGTAGATTTGCAGCAAGAAAAAATACCCTCTACTAATACCGTGTGGTCAAAAGGTTACAAGTGACCGTCAACTGCGTTCAGTGAGCACTTAACCAGGTCGGATGACAGCATACTTTGATATATATCTAAAAGATCCGGCTTGCACAATTGCTAAGTGTTCGCGCTCACAGCGTTGTGTTGAACGTCCTCCGAAACACACTCACAGATCAGTACATATAAGTGAGTGGTCGGAGTCTACGCTCTTACTCCAACTGGGCGACAGCTATCGGGACAACCTCTCCAGCGGTAATCGATCGTGAGGCGATCGAGTTGCGTTCATGGGTGGTATGAGGCTAGTGGGAACCATTTCACCAACAGGTGGCTGTGTCGGAAGTCAATACCCGCGAGGAATAAACGAGCATCTACACACAGATGTAACAAATTCTTTCCGATATCGTTACAAGAGCCTACAGTGTTAGGCATCCAGATGTAGCTCAGCATTAGAACATTTTCCACCTGAGCGTCCAGATCACCAGCCAGAATTACAGAACCCGTACTCTTTTGGTGAGGAAGGGGTTCAAAATGAATCGGAATATTATTAGCGCATCCAGTTGTTGAGTTGCTCGTCGAGCTGGGTAATTCGATTGCAGACGTTTTGTCACAAGTTGTGGCGACATCGTCAATGCAGGGGGTTGAGATTCGGCAGCAGATAGTAGCAGAAAGAAAACCCGGGGGTGGATTTTGTTACGTACTACTCTGTTCCTCATATGTTGTTTGAGAAGTTACCTTATTCTGATTGTTTGGTCATAGCGCCATACGTTCGTACTGGTCACAAACAGCTGCCGCGATGTGGTCCGAGTACTACCAATTCGACTGGTGCGATAAACGCAAAGTTGATATCCTGGGTTACCATTGGCAGTCATTTATTTCCGAACAGCAGACTGCAACCTGACGGTGACTGAACCACTGCAATCGAAGTGCACAACTCAACAGCTGGGTGAAGGAACATGCTCAGTTGGCGCCAGAAATCATCCTTCACTGAGCAAGCGCTACAATTTGTGAGGAGTGAGCGTAGAAAACGATGACAAATAGGCACCGTTTGTCCCCGCGCAACCTCATAGTCTTGGACAACTCAGCCAAGCTGACCTCACACATCCGGCTGTTCACTGGGATCCAATCGATCAGGGCAGCTTTACTCCGGGGGCTCAAAGCAACGCTCACACCGGCTTGACCAGCATCATCTCCGAATATTTAGGGTAAAGTGCCGCCGTTATCACATGAAGGTGATCGCAAAGATCGAGGCCTGCAAGCGCAATTCCGATAAACAGCAGATATCGATCGACAGGGTCTTTAGTGTTCGGGAAAGTGCTGCCTTTTGCCCAACGTATAACAAGGAGCGCACGCTGAGCCATGCCAATCAAAACGAGAATCGATGGCATCAAATAGAAACGGGTGAACGGAGATTGTTCGTATTGATGGGCATGAATTTACTGACTGGGTCGGAGCGGCGTCCTACGATCTTTCATGAGTCAAAACTTGAAAACAAGGTGGAGGCCCAAGAATCGCAGAGTTGCAAACAGGGGGTAAAAGTTGGTATAGGAAGTATAAGACGGTGAGTTTTGAATAGTAGCATCCTCATCCACATACACCATGCGCGATGTAGCATATGGGGCGCCGCTGACAATCCTCTGAGACGGATAGAGAATCAGGAAATCATTTGAATTATCAAGCTAATAGTTTTTTTTCAGTTCCATATATCCTTGGTTTTGAACTGAATGATTATGCTAACGTGTGCTAAACTGGTTACTTCCGCCTTTCGAATGGCAAGTTCTTCCCGCTCATCTGAAACGGACCAATGTTAACCGGTTTACGACACAACAACAGGAACAACGGTTTCGAAAATGCGGTAATCATTTGTAGCTTTCGGAATTTGCCAGCTATACGAGGATAGATAGCACTTAGCCCTGCATTATTCTGCACCTAAGAGATAAGCTGGAAGGGCTGTGAAGGCTGTCGAAGTCTGTCGTGGCAGACAATTTGTGTGATTCACATCACTTTGAACAGAAGCACGGCAATGCTTTTTATTAATAATTTCTTCCAGATGCTTTTTCGCTGTGATCCACAAAACAGTGGTGGAATCACGATTCCGCAATGAATTAACACAATTTTTCGTGGTGCTGCGCTGGGTGGGCAAAAGTTATGGGAAGCTAGTCCAACTCGACAAAATGTTTGGTAGAAAATCTTTCCACAGTGTAGGGGTTATACTCTTTTTGTTGATTCATCCCAAGATTCTGCTGTTGTGTCGTCAAAAGCAGTTTGAGTCACCGTGACCTCAAACAAACAACCCAAGTTACTGGAACACGCAACAACTTAAACAATGTGCATACTTGAAATTTGCGGTAAGCCCACGGCTACGCGTATTTCTTTTTCCATACATCTTTTTTGATCTCAGAATCTGCGGAAAACCGTTAAGCGTCTGTTTTTATAACCGTGATACACCCAGTGTGCCTCAAAATCTTACAAGACAGTTTGTGTCCAGCTTTGATCACGGATGGCAATTCGGGTTAGGTGAGCGTTGTAATGACGAGGTTTAAGGCACGTATGCGCTGCATTTTCCTTACGTTTCAGAAAAATATAAACGAAAGATGAGATGACTAAAAACTAAGGCCTACTCCCTTCGACTCTTGTTGCTCAACTCAGTTTCTATCCAGCAGCGCGCATTGTGACCCGACCACGTAGCAACCAACCCAGCGTCCTCTATATCACAACTCTGACTGCCTGAGCAGACACGACGTCACCTGGAGTATACACAAGCAGCGACGAACCTCCATACCCTGCCCAAAGCAAAAACCCATCACCTTTAGATTACTGTCACGCGGCGAAACCCCGAGCATTTGGAGTCTCACGTGAGACGAGGGTCTGTTCTGCAGTGGATCGGGGTACATTGGAGGGAGTAATACCTCGAGCTTGCCATTTCAGTAGCAGTGGAATAAAACCCTTGTCGGGGATAGTACAGAACTAGTCGCATCTAAAATCCGATAAGCTGACTCAAACGATGCGCTTTATTCCACACTCAAGCACAAGTTAGGGCTCAATGAATTACGCACAGTCCCTGATTGTGAATTTCTGGTGTATCCCTGCTTTATCCAATACCAACTATGGATACGCGATTAGTGAGATATGCCAGACATGGTCATGTAAGGCTCCTTTCAGACAGGAACATGGAAGGGACTATTAGAGTGGACAGAACAAATTAGCCTTCAGTGTTTTGTGGTACGGAATTCTGTTTAGCTTAGTGGTTGCACGCAATTGCCTATAACATACTCCCTCTTGGTGAGCCGCACGATACTTGCCGTTCCTTTACACCTCCGTATCTAATGCATGCTGGGTCTAGGCATCCTTCCACATCACCTCGTATCTTTACACACCGATAAGGAGCCATAGAGCACAATCAGTAGCCGGGTAATTTGCACGTATCACAAGCGGTGCATGAATCTGCTGAGGTCTAGACACAGCGATATTCCAGAAGAGAAACGGGGAACAATGCACTACAGTTTTAACGATAACAGGCAATACTACTGGCGTGTAGAAATCTCCAGATAGGGCGGATCACTTGGCGTTTTTAACAATATCGAAGCCATAGAATGTCACGAGTTATTGTTGTTGTTCAAAACAGAAATAGGCGATATATAAATTCAGAAAATTAAACAGTTTATTGGGTGGTGATCCCCAGCCGAACGGAGAGTATCCTGTAGTTCAGGCAGAAAAGACTGGAACAGCAAAGTATATCATAGCACGATATATTCAATGTAAAGGCGGATGACAATACAAAACATAGTGAGGAGAAGTATAAAAGTGGACATCACAGTGTCAGAAAAAGCACATATCAGATTAGTTTGTTGGTAGAAATCATGGGATGTTGATTAAAATGATAATGGCTCAACGTAGCGGAGAGCACCCGAATTGACGTTCAAATTCTTTTTATATCTGAAACCGATTTTGGTATGTGAGGCACACTCGGGAAACGAGTTTAAAAAATTTTGTGAATTTTAAGAGAAATAGCGATGATTCGATCACATAAAATCACGCAGACTGAGATGTGTTAGCGTTCGTTGTCCGCTCCCCAGGCTACATCACAAACGTAGACGTAGAAAAACAGAAAATGGAGTGGATGGCCACCAAAGGAAAGGACAGCGGGAACACTACCAAATGTGACAACTAAAGAACATGCCGCAAGATTATGTGGAAAATGGACAGGAAAGCAGCAAGAAAAGGCGACCAAAGGAGTAAAATTGTTGCACGTGTAGCGCAACAGTACGAACGAAACAGAGAAGAGGTGCTATATGGAATAACCAATAGGAACAACAACAAAATGGAACAGCGAGATTCATGATTTTGTTGATGTAATGTGAACCGGATGGATTGGGCAAATGAACGCGCAGGGTTTAGCTTGCGATGCACGTATCACTACTGATTGATTGGTAAGTTGTCGAAACGCACAAGGACTGCGCCGCTGTTAATGGCTGCGATATAACTATGTCTATGAGAGTGTTGTCGGAGCCGAACATCTGTTCGATTTCGGCCATCCTGTTTACTATTCGGTAATTCGTCTATACATTGTAGATTAACTTCTGCAACAGGGTGAAGGTATGCATAGGGAGTAGACGAGAATGGAAGCACACCTGTAAAAGAGACCTTAAGGACAACTTCAGTGTAGCTCGTGGTCAAATAAGAGCTTCGGTGTTACAAGTGCCCCAGAATCCAAACGATGAATTCCCAGCCCAGGTGACAGGCGTTGATGGCGACCATAGCAGTTCACTATGTATCACTATATCATTATGTGTAGAGCTCGAGCGGGTATTCGTGATCGGATATGGATCAACATTATGGTCATCAGCAGCGACAGACAAACGTCGTTAGATGAAAATAAAATGACATTAAGCTATACTAATGTGAGCGAAGTAACCCACGATGTAAAGCCTAAACGTCTCAAGCACAAATGGAGGATCAGGTGTACACATGTTAACAGCACCGAATGATCATCGTGCAAACCGAAGGCAATATATTGACTAAACAAACACATTGTGGGTTTCAGTGCACCGTGCCAATAGTAACGGGCAAATATATCAGCACCAAAAACCTAACAGGCGAGAAAGTTAGCTAACATCCACAACAACCACGGAATTGATCGTTTGAATCAAAGCTCGGAAGGCCGGATGGAGCAACAGCACTCTCGTGAATGATCAGAAACCTAACATGTCCCTGTCAAGCAAGAGAATTCAACCCTCGCGAATAACGCTGTCCAAAAGGTGCTGTATCTCTCAGTTGCGCAATACGTAAGCCAAATTCAGTAGCCAGGTGTTGCCAATTCAGCTCCTAAGGTAAATGAATAGATCAGCTGCTTTCGGTTCCTAATCGTTAGAAGGCAAAAGCAAGCGGTTAGCGGTGCCGCAGCAATACTTGGCCATTTGAAGGCAAAAGCTGTAGGCAAAAGAATAAGATCATGCCAGAAAGCAGAGCCACATCTGACTGCGTCAGCTAACGATTGCTGAAGGACGAACAATGAGCACAGTGCCGACACTGTGAAAACTCACTAGGTAATGCCATATGAATGGTCTAACACAGGGACACTGACATCACATTATTTGATTTTCACATGCATTGTAGAAAGATATTCGTTGAAAGTATAAGGAAAAGACGATTAGATCGAACGAAGAAGCAGCTAATGGTACGGTTGGGACCGTCCAAGAAAACATGATCAGTAAAACAAAAGCGGTGAAATCGTTCCCTGTGTTTCGCCTAGCCGCATTAACAATATGTATAAGGAAAGCAAAAGATAATGACAATTCAAGCGGTACACATAAAAGTGAAATAAGAGTAGTTGATAGTCCAAAAGTAGGGATCAGGCGCAAAAACGCCGCTGAACTCGTGACTGATCCATGGGGTACTGATATGGTCGATCCCGAGGGCCCCATCCCTAGGAGAACGATAAGCGCCATCCCAAGTAGCATTTTAGAGAGTCTCCTCAGGTGTTTCTCCCATATTATCAACTCGCGATCTCAGAGTCCCGCCTAAGTAGGCAGACTACAAGTAAACAACGAACCCGAAGGAAAGTACTGAGCTTACGTGAGCAGACAGCGTTCAGTAAATACTTCCGCGCCGCAAACAAGGTGCACGAACAAACCTCCAATGGAAATCGCTGTTGTTACTAAGACAGTGCTTCTCCAATAGATAAGCTTTTCTTTGCATGCGTCGGTGTCCAATAAATAACCGTCTTTCAATGTGCTAAGCGCATTGTAATCACATTCCTTAGCCACAATGGTTATACTGTAGCGTTACACACTCTTACCTCACTCAATTGATATGCTTGTGCTCCGTCGTGTCGAGTACCAAAAGAAATCAAAACGTGCGACTGCTAACGGTGATACAGCTAGTACTATAGTTAAATCCATGGAGTGGGAGTGCACTGACTCGACCCCGTAACAGTATATTTTGCAATCTAACAAAGCGAAGGATGTGTGAAAGCGTGCAATACTACATCTGGGTATCTTCTGGAGCATCTGGATAGCATTCATGTGTGACCTAAGGATAAATTCGACATCTGAGTGTCCTACGCCTGAGAGCTGGTTACCGAAGTGGATGGGACCCATAGAACTGCCTATGAATCTTTGAATGAAAACGTTAAACGGAAAACTAGGGCAACTCTGACGTGAACTTGTCTGGATGAACCAAGGGGGTTACCCAGCCCCAAGGAGAGAAAAGCTTTTCAGGTAAGTCTTTCAAATGAAAGCATCGGCGTGAACAAATGTGACCAACCGAATTGAAGGCAGTATTCTGGCCAAACAAGAACATCTTGAAGTGCAAACATGCGGCAAATACATCTCCCGAAGCGACAGCTCTCTCAAAATTGTAGAGGGTCACTGCAGCAGGACACAGGCTGGTTTATGTGGTGGAGCAAATAAGCTGAAATCAATAACATGATGATTCTTTTAGGACTGCAGTTGCAGAGAACGAAGGATGACAAGTGCAAACACTAGAGAACAAAGAAGCGAGGGAAGTCATCAACGAACCGTCGTAGGTATTTGGCAACGATGGAAGAACGTCGTCTGAGCCAGGCGCCTGCCACCGATTTTGCGATACCAGTTCGTGTCGGACCTCGTTGAGTCAGGTACCAATTCAGTGTCTCAAGCAGGTTCAAGTTGAAAAACTTACAGATGCTTAACTGACGTTCTGGTTCGGGAATTGGTCGAGGTGGACCTCCTTGATAAATGTGAGCAATTTTTTGTCACCCACAATATGAGTAAGCCGATAGGTAATTCCTCTGCTTGCTAATGTACCCGCTGAACTTAGCCCCAGCTTCTGGGCAGGTTCCTGTTGGGATGGAATTGCACGGCTACGCGAAAGTGCATATTTACCTTGTCAGTTACTCCGTTGCTATTGTTTTCGGATTGAATTGGGATGATGTGTTTTTGAAGAGCGCGTGGCCAACCGCCACGTGAACTCTCATTTCGAACGGGCGAAGATACAACGAACCCAGTCGTCTCACAGTAAGGATTCTGGTACAATAACTGGAAACATCTTCGATTATGCTCGAAAGAGTGGCGTCTTACGTCCATACTAACAACACTCCAGCACTTCTCCTTCGTGATAAAAAGGATGCATGAATCGTTCAGGCGCAAACCACCCCTCGTCTGAACAACCTCAGACTCCATTCAACTGTCTCATGCTGTGCTAAAATGACATACTATACGGCATGCCAAATGCACTTGAAGCCTCACCACACGACCGAAGTTCAGCTTCCAAAGATTATAATGTGACAAGAATAGCGATGGAAAACAACGTGTTCTTAATCGTTGAAACCGAAGGCAAATCTTTGTGATATACTACATGAAGAATGAACTATTGATTTTGATATCCTTCGTGGGACAGAGCAACCGCATCTTAATTAGGCAAGTCGATTGACGGATAACAAATTCCGTGTAAATGCAATTCGCCAACACCGGCTGGCATTCTCCACCAGAGAAAGACGTTCAGATATATCAGCATATGAACAACTTAATCATAATGGTACGTATACACGATTTTTGACCTGCAGGTTGAATGTTGCCAAAAGTATTTATGCGAATGTCGCGAACACACATAAATAGCCATTGTGCAGCTTTTTCCCGGCTACTGATCAACTTGGTGGATGCATTGTTTTCATGTGACTGGCTTACCACGCCAAATGAGGTATGATTCGCCAAACCGAAATTATAAGTGTCTGTATACGGACTCAACTGAAGTGCTCAATGCGACGGGAGATAGAGTAAATCGGCTTCGCAACTCTTTCAGCTGGTATTCCAATCACAGGAGCCTTCGCTGAGTGTACACGTAAATGAGTTGGTACAACGCTCTGGCCCCCACTATACACCAAAGTCCGCGGTCGGTTTTGGGGTTGGCGGTCTGACGACGCTTCAGAGCGCTACGAAACCAATGAAAATGACGTTCTGATGCGAACACCTTGCGTGCTTTAATCAAGTTAATCACATGTGTGACACCAATTGGAGGCAACAGGAACCTCCAACAGATTGTTCCATCACATTCGTCGACATCTGATGTTGAAATTCAAAGTGACGCTGCTGCTTCTCAGACTGTCAACAGTGTTGACGATAAAACATACTAGAATTTGTGCGTTGTACTAAGGTAAGCAAATGCGCATGAAGGCACACTTAGCTTTGAAACAAGCATTCCAGATCGACTGACAATCTTGTAATGAAGTGCACCATCCACAGATGAAGTTGAAGTGGACTGTCGTCCAGTGACCGCCATCTAACTCGACGCCAAAGTTTCTGCTGAAGGGATATGCTGCTAGCGTTGAAGCTGAGGAGCCCACCGTTAAAGAATGCCGCGCGTCATGTACTGATCTTGATACCACCTGCGATATGTTGTTCCCACGTCTATATAGGACGCAAAAGAGTACTCATCTTACGTACGGTGATCGCGATATCTGTAGTATTGTTATCCGAATAAGACAGTAGAGCTGCTTACATAAGTAATCTTTCAACGCTGCTCTTTAAAGCTAGTGAGAGCACGACTTGAAAGAATAGGCCATGGGCAATGTCTTAACCGGTGCATTGGTGGCCGCTACCTGAGAATCTGCCCAGAAAATGTCCTGCACATCAACCGAAGGCTACTCCGATATCGCCACTTTAGTCCCTACTGCACGGTAAAAATGTAAGCGACGCAGCTTCGTCCCGGCTGAAAACCATGCCTGTTCATGTCGAATGTGTGACTTCCTCGGCCGGTGGCCGAGTGATATGCGCGTCTGGCTTGCAACCAAAAGGTCACCGGTTCGAATCCGCTTAGGGGCGGGCGTCCTCGCGGTATACACAGCCCACGCGCGACTGGTGGTGGTGGCGTGGCAGCGAAGCGCCGTTACGGAGTACAGCTGGCGATTCACCCTCTATTTATGAGACTTCCGATCACAGCAACAGAACAACAGTCCAGAATGAATACAAAAAGTATGTCATCATAGTTTGCGGCTGACGGAAAAGTTGCGATGACACCACCTGATCAGTCTGACACAAATGATTTCAACTCCCTTCTTCCATATTCGGGCAGATGAATGCCCTGTCTACAGAGGAGCCAATGTCTTCCTTACATATCGAAGGTGCAAGAGAACTATGAGAAGAAGAGCAGGAGCAGTCGAAAGATGAGGCTGCCGTAGCAACTCAGACCCACGCTATAGACATAGCCGACAAGTACTCTGTGCTATCTGAGCAGGGGTGACTCGAGGTTGCTGAAGTGTCAAGTCAAACGAGTCAGCCGACATATCATATCGTGCCTAATGACACCGGTTCTGGGTTTAACGCTCCCGCATCATGAAGAGACTGCATCTAAACGTGGCGCGATAGTTTGTGTGCCTCAGCGATCCACTGGGTGGTGGTTTGGCACCTTCAGAGCCACTCGTACCAGATTAGTTAATAGTTAGAGGTCTGACAAACTCAGTCGCCTGGCCCTCCAGGTTGAGAGTCGAAGACTGTATTGATTTAATCTGTATTGCTTAGTCTTATCTTTTTTGTATTGCGGCACATTGGCTAAGGTGTGCTTTTCACCGTCGACTAACGTGTATTCAAGTCAAGTCAAGTACTGAGGATAATGATTTGCGGGTTTCTGAGCACTCGCCGTGTATCTTGGATTACGACACGCAATTTCAATCGTGGTCTAGGTCGACTTTGAAATCAGCCTGTGCCAATACAGTCACTGGGACAGCCAACTAAGTGGAGGGTTTCGGTGTGACTCTCTCCCATTCCTGAGGAGGATTTGACGTTCTCGCTGAATGGTTTCCACAGAATAGGTGTCATTGATCACCCGAAAGGGTTTGCAGAATTTATCCACCCCTATTGTCGCCTCCATGTTCTGAGTCTTTTAAATAAACAGTGTCCACTTTCTAGTTCTTATGACCTGTTATGACTGGCATATGACAATCTACAAGGTCAGACTGCACTCAGTGACAGCAAAGGTACTTGATTCCATTACCGTTACCACTACCAGAGGGTAATGTCGATTGCATTGAAGACTGACAGCCCCGAAGAATGTTCCTACCATATGGACGACAGAAGAAACCTAGTTTGTCAGAACGCAAAGTCCGCAAACAGAGAAAACGCAAGGGCAGTTTGAAAGGTACCCAAGCGTAGTTGCCACACTGTGGAAGACACTCCTGTTGCAACCCCAAATAAGGAGGGAAATAACATGGAAAGTGCGGGAATCATTGACATTAACAAATTCAGTAGGAGCACCTCTAGATGTATACCAAGAGAGCAAGCATTTATACCTCGGGGAAAGCGAGATGCGCAGACTGTGGTGCCAGAGTAAGAACCAAAGAGGCGTGAGTGGTTTGGACCGGATATCTCATTGAAAAAATCAGACACCGTCTAAATCATATGTACAAAACAGTCATTGACTCAGTCGTTCAAGGATTTGATAAGGTCCGATACAGCGGAACTGGAATATAGTCTAGCTGGAAATCAACGAGTACAATAAGCGTAAAAACAACGATGGAAAAAGTTCAATGTTTCGATGAGGCATAGGTATTCGAAAGGATTGTGCTGCTGAATCAGTAGAGACAAAACGAAAAACATGAAATTGATTTCAATCCAAATGAATGAAGGCAAGAACCACTTACGGTTGTTGGGGTTTGATGGTCAGAGTTAGGTTGTCGGGTAGAGAGAGTACTGATGGACCGGCCACGATGTGGCGGACACTGGCGAAGAAATCCGTCACGGGCACTGTTTGAACTGATCGCCGTAGAAGCTCCGTGCGTGACACCACGGTGGATAAACACTGACTCCTGGGACAGATGGATAACTGAGTGAGAAATCAAAGACCAGACAAGATAGATGAAAAAAGTGATCCGAGGGGTGGAGTGTCATAAAACTCAGACTGATAGGAAGTGATGTGAATCTCCACTCAGGGTGTAACCGAAAGCGGTGGTACGGGCACTGTGTGAAGAACTCAAGGCAAATGAGATTGTAGAAGCTTATAGGTGAAAACAAAAGAGGATTATTACAACGCAACAAGAAAAAGAGCGCACAACACGAAATGCAGTAACAGAAGATTCGACGTTCCAAAAACAGCGAGCACCGGGAGAATGCCTAAAAGTAGGCAAAAAAACCCTTTCGAATCACAGGCAATGCAATCCCACAAAATCACACGCCAAACACGGAAATCAAAAATACAAATTAAATGCCCAGCGAAAAATGATGAATGGATGAAATTTGGTTCATGAACTAAGAAATAAAACTACTGACTTGAATACAGAAAGTGAAATTAGAAGGGCACGCTGTATGGAAATAAATATAGTAGAGATAGGCGGCGGACATCCGTATTGCAGACAGCAACGATGAATAGAATGAACGAACACCCGAGTTGGTACGGCGCGAGAATTAGTTATCCACCAGGCATCAATAAGTGGCGCATTCTGGATGCCTTCAGAGTCACTCATGGCAAGAAAGTCAGTGGATATGGGTCAGACAGTCGGACACTGGGTGGATACAAACTGTATCCTACCACGAAAACTAAATTATGTGAAACAATAACAGATGGCCCCAAAACTCGAAGAGCACGAGCAGTACGAATTGTCGCTGACAGTGGGCGGGAATTGTATCCAACACGTTCACCGCGCAGTGCCTTAATAGTTATTACTGCACCAGGAGCAGTAGTGTGGTAGGAACGGTTGAGGCAGACATTAACGGACCGACTGGACCAAATTAACGTCACAACACTAGGGGGAATGAGTGATTGCCACAAGTGGATTTGCGCCAGGAAAACATGTGGAAGTGGTGTTCGACGAAGACACTGAATAGAAGTGCATCACCCAACACCCAGGAAAACATTCGCAGATTAGCAGAGTCTTATGTGATCACACCTAATGAGCAAGATGGATGCTCTTTGCCAAAATCAACAAGTTACCGGGGCTACCGAAATCCTTGTAAGTGGGTTCTCCTGGATGAAAATCCCATTTGCGTTGCTGAGAGTGAGCGTTCCCTAAACTTCGGGTCTACTGCATCAATAGGCAGGCGTGTCTTACAATCGGACATGGCCTCCATTGGGGAGTTGTAATAAGGCGCGGCCATGCATTGCTCGAAAACAGAAGTCGTGTGTTCTCTATCCTCGCAGTTTTAGAACTGAGCACTTAAAGGTGTCATCAAGTAAGGGACGACGAGTAGACTACCAGTTGCGCACAACGTCGTTACGCCAGGGAGAAACTATGAGATGCTTTTGGAAAGCATGAAGTTCAGTAAACCGACATGTGCGAACAGTTGTTGTACCACTCGTATTGCGAAGGCTGTCGTGGATGTGTTCATCAGAATCAATCACGTCCATCCTTAAATAGGGCAGGTTGGACGGAATCCGGGCCAGTGGCACGAAAACGATTGAGGGCTGTGATCGTGCTTCGGAGTTCGGCCCCCGATGATGGCTCTAAACTAACCGTACATGGCTCGTCCTGCATCATCTGAGTAAGAATAGTCCGAGAGCAGGGGCCAGCTGAACTGATCTTGAAAGTGTTCCGCCCAACGAGCCATATGGCGCTCCTTATTGTGTATCAGTGAACCCGCGCTGTCTCTGATTGTCTCACTGACGCCTGGCTTTCTGAGACCAGTGGTGCGGATCAGCTGGAAGAGCTTGCGGTAACTGCCTACTGCTCTTGCTTTTTACATTTCGTGAGCCCGACTAGTCCATCAAGCTTCCTTGTCAGCATGCAGACGCCGCTATAGTTCGCACTTAGTAGTCTGTCTGGTCAAATTGTGCTCAGAGCCAGTCAGGAGGTTTCTTCTGGATTCCAACAGATTCACCGACCTCTCGGAAACCCAGTAATGGGCGCGGTGACGATTGAAAGTGCCACAAGCACATGCACTTGCGTCATGCATGGCGGCCGAGATCTCATTTCACTGAAGTACAGCGTCTTTGGATAATACAGCGAAAGTTCGGTACGCAGTGCGTTTCGACAGGACTGCCTGACTGACGGCTGAAACAATTTCTCGGTTGTCAAACGGGGGAGACGCTTGGTGCGCCTCACGGCAAAGTTCATGGAGAAATGACAGCATACCTGGACGCAGGTATTCTAGCACGAGCTGCAGTCCATGATGGAGCCACGCCACCTGTAAGTTATAACAATGTGATCAATTTGCGTCCATTGCTGTCCAGCTCCAGGAGGACGCAGAGTAGCACTTAGGCGCCACTTTGTCTAAAAGCAGTGATACAACTGGTGTTCCGCACACAGTTGCAGCAGACGTTCACCGTTGTCCGTCCGGTCGGTGTTAAGCCCATAATTACCACCTCGTTGAAATTCTGAAGAGCACAGCCGCCCTACTTGTGCGTTCATATCCCAAGCAAGTGCTATGACATCTGAAAAGCAACATTGCGTAGTAGCGCGTTCAGTTAGTGAAAGAATGTGTTCTTGGCAGCATCAGAACTGCAGTAGACGGGAAGGTAAGCAGAAATCACAAACAAACAGCATTAAGTACTACTGCGTGAATCACCCTTAGTTTATGTCGTCAAACGGATGCACACAAAAGGTTGCTCACCGGAATCCAATCAACCAACGATGGCTAAACCTTGGAGATGAGAATGATACCTACCCCAGTTTGACCCGTGAGTGCTGCAGCAGTATATCCGGGTGCGTGCAACCAATAGCGAGAGGACAAGCCGGGTGCCGTTAATCCAACAACCCGATTAGGGTCATTGATCCTAATTTCGGACACACAACCTAAGTCAATACCCAATGTGCCCAACGTGTGTGCGAGTGCAGCCTGTTGACTTATTTGTATTAGAGTGCGAATGTTGAACGCCGTCAGTGAAACGGGACAGTGTGGCCTCATAAAAAGCTGTTGCAGATTGGTGTCCACTGGGTGCTACGAGAAGATAGCTGTAGGTGGTGTGGTTCCAGTGGCATTGCGACCGCCATCAATTAAGCCGAGGGGTTGGGAGGGCAGTGGAAAAAACAAGAAATGAAAAATAGAGGTGCCAGCAGTAGCATGTTTTCGCTGCTGTATGCAGCAGATAAGGCGACCTTTGATAAGCTGAGCGACGGCCGGTGCATGATGTAATTAGAGTTTGGAGCAATTGTCATGAAAGTATATGGGCTGATACTGCCAGGGCACCCAGACCTAGATAGGACGGGTAGGGTCCTCAAACAAAGCTTTTGGCTGAAAAGCTTGTCCACAAGGCAGCGGGGAGCTAACAATGATTTAGTTTTAAAGAAATAGACGCCATACCACTTCAAACCCCAAGCCGGGGGAACAGGAGACTGAGTTTGTCTGATCTCTAACCATTGACTGACCTGATAGGAGTAGCTCACAAGGGGCCCGGAGGCACGATGCATTATAACTCAATGGGTCAAAGAGATACGAAAACCGTCGGACCACATTAAGATCCATTGTCGTTGAGACGGCTCATCAGAGACACAACCGGTCATTCAATGTGTGAACTAGTCATAACATGACAACACTGGTGACATCAATGTAAACTCAACCTCAAGGCCCGGGGGGATAGCATTTAATGTTAGGCGAATATGCTTGGAAGCTTCGCTGATGAAGCGTAACTGTTGCATCCGGCAACGCACTCATGGATGGCAGTTCGACGTAAGGTCAGAGGTTCATCTGTGATAGCCCGGCAAACAACTTAGCCCTAATTGCTGTAGGAAATTAGAAACAACGACGCAGTCCCTGAATAACAACATGATCAACGCCAATGACGGAACCGAAGAAGGTGCATGTCGGTAATCCGTTTGATTATTTTGTGCTCAAAAAGGAAGAATGATCTGCAAACGAAGGCTTGGTGTGCCTTTGCATGTCCGCGAAAGTATCCGGAAGACGCAGGGTACCGAAACAGCGCAAGTAATCTGAAAATTAAGACATGCACATCGTTAAAAAACGCGAACGGATCAAGAGCTTATGAGTTTAGACAGGCATGAAAAAATACCGGTTAATATGTCTGTTGGACAACGTTGCGCTTATGGCAGGAGCTTACAAGTAAACATTCGAGATTCGTTGATCACATACTACAAAAACTCAGCTTTGACGAAACCGTGTCACAACTCAAGGAGGTTTTCGATGAGTCGTCAGCACTAGTAAACATTCGCCATCAGTGTCTGAAAACTATCAAGCGGGACACAGACGATAATGGTGCGCTAGGAGACATAGTCAATCGTGAATGCTGAGTATAGAGAGCTAGTAGACATATGTGTTGCTCCATCGTAGTTATATCGGACATGTGCACGGAATCACATCAGTGATTCCTGCGCGTTTACAGCATACTATTGTTGCGCCATAGGCTATTCGAGTGCCATGCGCACACTAAATCTGAAACTCGCAAAGTGGGTGTCTAGGAGTCGAGAATATTCTGACAGCGATTTCGCCTCGACTATTTCCACGGGCATACTGTTCCAAAACTTCCCCACTAGCCGTCCGAAGCAAGGAGTGTGAGCTATCCGTTTTACGTCCGGTACCACAAGCTTGTAGCGGTGACCGCGAGTATAGCCTGTTGCGCGCACATGCAGCTGTCTTCAGCATGAGGAATTAACCCAGCTATAATATGCAGTCCACTCGAAACCGACAGGGTGTAAAGCCCTAGTCGTTTGCATCGGCTTTCATACGACATAACCCGCAGACTAGGCATGAATTTAATAGCTACGTGGTGAAGGCGTTCCAGTTTTTGCACCCACCACGAGTGATCGGGTAATAGGCAGGTGATCCGCCCTCGAGCATCGGTCTTATGATGGAAAAAAGGTGCGCGTGCCAATCTCTGCAGATCAAAAGCAGAGGCTACATTTGATCGACAAAAACACGCGCAGTCTGTTTTCCTAT